CGACAATGTTTCATGTCATAGTATGGGTGTCACATGGTCCCAAAGGTGGACTACGCCTTTAAGAACAGCTGCAGTTCACAGACAAGGACGGGAGCCATTCTGTGGCTTGAATTCAGTGAAGAAGTGACGGGAGAGCCGATCTGTGAACGGGGCAGTCCGTAGAAGCCCACTGGGTAACCTGCACAGGGAAATGAAATCTGATTGGTTGCTGTGAACAATAGATCGCCTACAGGCCGATCCCACAGTAGGTACTTTTAGTGGATATGGAAGGCTGAAGCTCCAGGAACACTTGTAACCTGGAAGAAAAAACTATTACACACATCGTGGAAAAAATATCATGGACAGAAGATTGAAATGGCCTGTGCTGCCCATGTCTTAAAGGGTCTGTCCACCCAAAACCAGCTTTTTATCTCTAGCTGGCCGGCAGTGAACGGAATCATTCAGAACAATCTTGAATCTCTCAGGGACTCGGGTGACAATTTCTATAGGAGTTCCCGGCTCCGCCCACATACAAAGGCTGCCCGAAGCCAGTCGCAGACTCCTTGCTAAAATGTCACATTACAGAAAATGCACTTCAAGGAATGGAGACCCTTCTACTGAGTGGCCACAGCTGGACCCTCCATTGAGAAGATCTACATAGCTGTAAGGTACCCAGTGAATGTTCCAGAGTGCTGGCGCCCACCCAGAACAGAGAAAAATCAGGTTTAACTGCAGATCACATTGAAAGGACAGCATCAAAGCCCACATGACCCTTCCTATACTATCACTATGATGCACTCGGGCTGCAAAGACGGTGATAAATGCACTCGGGCTGCAAAGACGGTGATAAATGCACTCGGGCTGCAAAGATGGTGATAAATGCACTCGGGCTGCAAAGACGGTGATAAATGCACTCGGGCTATAAATGCAGTCTTCTTTTATTTTTTAACACTTCCATTTGCCAGCAGCACGCTAGAGAGTCAGACCTCCGCTCAGCAAATAACACAGCGGTCCAACTCGGCACCCCGGACCCAATCAACAGCACTAATGCGCCGGTCTCCCTTACAGTAACACGATTGTACGGGTCAGTTCGGCTTTCACTCCATGGTGAGGATTAGCTGTAAACTCCAGACATGTTCTATGTCTATCAGGACTGAAGGAGAACTGTCAGGACTTAAATATGGGATGATCTACTGCTGACTTGTTGTTGGAGGTGCACGTGCCAGGGCTAAGCCTTATCCTTCCTTTGTTACCTAATGAGTCTTTGACCAGGAACACGGATGCAGCCAATGAAGTCAGAACCCCGGACCAGCATACTGCTTCCACATCAGTGACCTTACAGGGGACCTGTAATGCTGAAGCTGTGCTGGAAAAAGGACAGAAGAGTGACAGTAGGACACACTGGGGGGGTTACATGCACCCCCATTAGCGTGCACCCCCCCCCCCCCCCGGGGGGGCCCCCTGTTA